CAACTGATTTTTAGTATAAAATATTGTAAATAAAAAAGAACACATTTAACTGAATACTGTATATTTATGTTTATATCTGATACATTTTCTGCGATACCAATTGCGCAGAGCTTTATATATTAAAATTAAAATATGTACAGGGAGTTTGTTCGTGATTATTCATTTTTGACCGGTTCATTTGGGACTCTGGGAGTGCAATTTGCATGAATGCGAGACTGGCCTCTTGCTATTCTCCGTAGCAACAGTACCAGACTAACCTATTGCTATTCTTTATAGTATGTTCTTCGACATAACATAGTTGACAGCGTAATTTGCACCGAGTGATGGACCGACAGCGCTTAGCCTTTCCTTCCAATTTAGAAATCCAGGTACTTACTTAATCGCAAATCTGTATCAATTTGCAGAGTTAAATACGTATAGTTGTATGATTTGTAAATAACCATGCTGACATAAAAGTATGTTTCTAAGCATACTTACAAATGCATCGGTATGGGTATTGTTTAAATGTATGTATATACGAATGAATTGGTAAATAAATATGTCGTGACAAGGACTTCTTTTAGTGAACTTTGCCGGTATACAATGCCGAATAAATATAATAATAAATATCTCGGTGGACTGGCGGTTGTCATCAAACAAGAACAAGTGAACAGCAGTTTGTTTGTGAACACACGACTGGGTGTTCACTCCTTCCCAATACAATAGTATCGCCAAGCCGCTCGTTGAAATCGTTTTAGTACATAGAGTGACAAGATCCATAAGATAAGATGTCCGATTTGACAGAAGATCGTGCTGTGGCTGAGTACGATACTAAGGACGATGTAACGCTGCACACAAGTGTGAGCGTAGTGTCACATACGTATGCGAGCACAAGTGTGGACAATGTGGGAACGCACGTGTTGCAGCAGGAGGTTAGCAGAACAACCCTGACTAAAAGTGAGTTGGTTGTGCCTGTGGCTGGTATAGTTGCTCATGAGGAGGATCCTGTAGATACTCTGATGAGCGAGCCCGCAAGCGATCACGCGGTTCAAGAAATCGTACATGAACAATCACATGCCAACGCAAATACACAGGCTGATTCACACACTCAACCGGATAAGCGATCCAGTGGTGTGCATGAGACTCTGGAGGCACACACACAACGCAGTCCTAAACGCGTACAGGACACTGTGCTGGCGGAGAAGCCTAATGTTGGCGAGCATACGGCTGAGAACGATCAAGTACCCGGTAGCGTAGCACAAACCATTGCAGCAGATGTGAATGTAAACACACATAATGATGTACAAATGAATAACGCGAGTGTGCATAACGCTATACATGGCAGGACTGGTGTGGCCAAAAGTGCCCAGACGGCACCTAATGATACAGAAATGGGCCTGTCAGCTATCACAACTGGGTATACAACCGTTCACGCTGAGAAAAGACCGCATGGCGAAGTCGAGTCATCAACCCGCGAACCAAATACACTACCCCCGGGAACGGAAACGGAAAAAGAACCGGAAACGGAAACGCGAAAGGGAAAGGGTGCGCTGGTAGAACCAAAGCCAACGGATACGGCTAGGACAGAAGGCGTACAACCAACGGACGGGCGACTGTATCGGAAGTTAAAGGAAGTGCAAGAGGCAGCTACGAGCAGAGCCCTCGCATGCTGTTGGTATGTGTTGCAAGTGTGTTGGAATTGTATTGATTTGGTGGTAGTATGTGGGGTGTGTATTGTATTGGTGATAGTATGTGCCGTGCGTATTGCAGTAGTGGTAGTATGTGGAGTGTGTTTATTTTAAGTCCGTATTGGCCTGTATATGACAGTAGTGGTAGTATGTGGAGTGTTCATTTTCAGTCCGTATTCGCCTGTATATGATAGTAGTGGTAGTATGTGGAGTGTGTTTGTTTTAAGTCCGTATTGCCCTGTATATGACAGTAGTGGTAGTATGTGGAGTGTTCATTTTCAGTCCGTATTCGCCTGTATATGATAGTAGTGGTAGTATGTGGAGTGTGTTTATTTTAAGTCCGTATTGCCCTGTATATGACAGTAGTGGTAATATGTGGAGTGTTCATTTTAAGTCCGTATTCGCCTGTATATGATAGTAGTGGTAGTATGTGGAGTGTGTTCATTTTCAGTCCGTATTCGCCTGTATATGACAGTAGTGGTAGTATGTGGAGTGTGTTAATTTTAAGTCTGTATTGGCTTGTGTTTTGCAGTAGTGGTAGTATGCGTCATCCTTTGGCGTATGTTTGTGCTGACATGACAGTCCCCACGGTTGTGCAAAGCACTCATGTCATACGTATGCTTCATCTGTCCGTGCATGTACTTCTCTGAGGGTTGGTGTATGCTTGTGACTGTGTTTGTGAATGTCTGTGTACATTGACATCCCTTTGATTCCCACCAGCACGTTGATCTTGATATCATTTCAGTGTTTTGTTTTGCCAAGTTCTTAGCTTCCATGCAGTTTGCTTCCTCACGCGGGAGAACGTGCTTTCTTAAATGTATTTGGTGACTCTAATAACAGGGGATTGTGGATCCTGACCCAAAACTCGGAATTTGATAGTCCTGGGTTTGGGAATCAGGATTGGCTTTTCTGAGAATCTGGTACCTGTAGGCTACAGTATTCCCTTCAGTATAGCATGGGCTCTTCATTTCTGAAATAAGTTGTGAATTAGTTCGACTATTTCCGCTGGCACGTAAAGGTGACCATCGGTATTAGACGGAACACAGCCCTGCCGCCCTTTTTCAGACACAGTTCGTTGCTATAGTAATCGTTTTGGCTTAAAATTCGTCATACCCTGGCTGCTGCGGGCGTCGATCTCCGACAATGAACGAGAAAACATATCTACGTTTGATGGAAAGTGTCGTACATAATGTTCCCTCAGACCCCTTCCTCTCTCTCTCTCTCTCTCTCTCTCTCTCTCGTCGTAGTATCGTACGTACCGTACCGTACTACTACTACGTATCTACTCGTTCGTTACGTTAACGTTAGTTAGTTAGTTAGTTACCGTTACCTTACTAACTAACGTA